TTTGGGTGGCCAGGAAGTAGAGTAGGGGAATAACACCAGAGAGGAAGGGATGAGAAACCATGCCCTCCGCCCAGGCCATGCCTCCATGACCCACCCAGAATCACCAAGAAGTGTGCTCCACAAGTCTTCTGTGTGGATTCCAGAAGCCAATCAAGTTGACACTCCACCTTCACTACCACTAGCCCAAATCTGTTGATGTTGTTTTCATGGATTTCATCTCCCTTGATATTTCACCCGTAAGCAGGTATTCATAGAAAGCCGAATCCCAGTCTCTCTGAACCACAGAGTTGACATAATTTGACACTTCTGAATTGTTGGGTGGGGTTACTGTGATGCATAGGAGAAATACCTAACAAGATATACTCTTACCCCTTATCTCTTCCAATCCGCAAGGCATCCTCAGCCTTCATCCTCTTCCAGGAAGGCTGGCAGAATGACCCCTGTCCCTTATCACCCGCAAACCCTTTGCAAGCAGCATGTCATCGGGTGCACATTCTTTTGCATCTGTACATCTTGCTTTGGGCTGATCATTATGTATGATCATAAACTATAGCTGATTGCAATCTGTACCACCACTCACAGGTATAAGTGGCTGGGTCCCATCAATAATAATTGCCAAATAGCCATGTTGTCCCTGGAGTACAGGACCCTAACAGCCCACCTCAGTGTCCCTGGAAAATTTGCCCTACAGCATCCAAGAATGCCTTTGGGCATCCCTGGGGTGCCCAGGAGCAGCTTCAGGCATGGGGGAAGCACTGCTAGACAGTCACTGTTCAGATAGTGCTGCCTGGCTTCCCCTATACAGTTGACAAGGGACACCTGCTCAGCTTGTGCCCCATCCCCACTCTGTCCACATTGTCTGCACAGAATCATTCGGAACCAGAAAGATAAAGTCCAGCTTCTTTAGCTTTGCATCTACCTGCTCCCTCCTCCCTTGCTGGAGTTCTTCCCTTGGCAGGAGGGAAAGGGCACCTGTCCCCACAGTGGTTGCCCTGTCTCTTCCAGTCCCCAGCCCAGCCACAATAACAATATCTCATCCAAACAAACAAACCTCCTGGGATCTGAAAAAAGGCATAAAAGTTGGTATTCTACAAAACCCTCCAATGCAGAGCAACAATGTAAATGGATCATTGTCACATTTCCTATACACCAACAAATGAACTGGGGCTCAGCTAGGACACTTGGTTTTATATAATTGTTTTAACCTGTTCCACCTCAGAAAACACACTCACATACACTGCTTCACATTGGAGAAGGCTGGCTGAAATGCTTTCTTGAAGGTCCAAACTGGGAATGGACAAGGTAAATTGCAAAGAGTCCACTGCTCAGAGTGGTTTTGTTGTCTTGTATCATAACAAGAGCTCTCAAAAGCTCCTGGGCACTGTGCCACCCATCCTCTGGCTGGAGGACAAGCAATTCTGGCACAGTTTATCCACCTTCTGGTGAAGGTGCCAGGGACCATTTCTTCACTCACCATCTTCCCAGTTTCTCTCCAAGAGAGGCAGATGGAGGAGGTCAGTGGAGGGCCAGCCATTCCCTGGGCTCTTCTCCCAGCTGTCAGCCCTCAATGGCCTGCACACGGACAACAGATTAGCTAAGCAGTGCTGGATGCTAGAACAGGATGCTGACCGTGGAGAAGGACTGTGGGGAAGGGGTGTCGGTGGCAGTGCCTGAGCCTTCTCTGGGGGAGGTAGCTGCTATGAGAAGGAGGAGAGGGGATAGGAGGAGCATTCCTGAAAAACAAAGCAGCAGAAGGAAGGACACTGGCTCCTGAACCACTCTGGGATTGGACATCACTTCCACATCATCCCTATGATGGAGCAGAACCTCCAGACCCTGACTTCAGACTTTCAGGACTAGCAATAAGGATGTCAAAAGCAAGTCAAGGTCTGAGTGACAGGAAAAGGAAAACAAATAAAAGGGGACATAAAGAGAAATGTGGGCTAGAAGAAAACATCCAGGCCCATCTCAGTTTCTGGTATGCGTTAACCACTTAGTGAAGGTTAGAAGGGAAGGCAGGAGTGGGAACATCAGGAGAACTAGAGGAGGCAGTATGCAGGCTAGAAAGAAAGTAAAGCAGAGCAAGGAGAGAAAGGGTAGACTGAAAAAGCTGAAGGAAGAGCAAGGAAGGATGGAGAGAATGTAAGTTAAGAGCATCATGGCGAGGAGAGCAGGTTTTAGGGGGAAGCTGACCGAGCCTTTCACCTGCAGCAGAAAGGACCGCAGCCCAAAGCAGCCAATGAACAAGCACTGTGGCCCTTCCCACCGATGGCAATGGCAAAGCTCTCCCCATTCTCCTCTGACATCTTTCCTTTTTTCTTTTTTTTCTTTCTTTTCTTTTCTTTTTTTTTTTCTTTATTTTTTTTTTTTTTTTTTTTTTGGTGCCTGGGATCAAACTCGGGACCTTGTGCTTGCAAGGCAAATGGTGGCACAACTAAGCTAAATCCCTGGCCTTCTCCTCCAACATCTTAGGTAATACAGCAGGATCTTGGAGGGACATGCTATATTTTATTGGTTAGCACCAAGTCGGAGGTTTCCTCTACACTCAGGAGGAGGGTCTAGACCAGGGTGCATCCCTGAGAAAGTCAGTCTCCGCGGTCCACACTTTCCTGTAAAATGATACTTTAGAACAGTACTTTTCACACCATGGTGGTTTCAATGGTTAAATAAATGAATATCTGTAAAGCACTTTAAATAATGGCTGGTCCCCATAGTATGTATGGCATGTGCTTGTTGAATGTTTTAAAAATAAGTCACTGAACTTGACAGAAATCTTCATACAGTAAGTACTCAGTAAGGAGACACCTGCCACAGGGCTGGAACCAGGTGCTCTTGGCCCCAGACTGTGTCCTGTCCCTTTGTGGTGGCAGAGAAGTGGGGATTAATGCTCAGGGTGGGGCCTCTGAGGTTCTGGATGACCAAGGCACAGGTCTGACTCTGCAGATCCAGTATACACTCCTGTCCTCTCTCCTCTGGGCTGGGGGCTGTCCTCCCACCAAGGCCTCTCCTGTCCAGCCAAACAGGCCTGCAGCTGCCCAGGATCACCCGCTTCTCCCTAGCTCCCTTTGTTCCAAAAAGATGGGGTGTGGGGGCTCTGGAGCCCTGCCTGGCCTCTTAGTCCCTCCCATCCTTCCAGCAGAAACCCGAGCAAGCTGCCTCCCCATGCATCCTCCCCTTTCTAATCTAATTTATGCATTGCTTTCTTCTATTTGCAAAACATAAGAAACCCTTAGAAGTAAGAGGCTGCTTTCCATTTCTGAGGTGGGCTCGCTGGCTGCCACGCACACTCACACGCATATATTTGAACAAGTTTGATTCAGTGTAGCTGACACAAAAACCACTTAGTCGTTTCTCCTACATCATCCTAAGTTAATACTCCTGACAGGCTGCAGGAGGCTTTTCAGCAATTTTTCTATTTCAGCTTTTTTCCCCTCTGCCTCCTGCCACCTCCCCACCTCCCCCTTATCCTGCTATAAAATTTGCTTTCTACTCAAAACCTGACCAAACCTTTGCAATTTGTATCCATCGCATCTTAAGACCAAATTGAAAGGCGAGCAGGACTCTGACTGGGAGCAGGGCAGCTGGGCCTTGCAGGGATGGATTCTATTTGTGCTTGATGTAGGGAATTTAACTGTTCAGGAGAGATAAGAGATGTGCTTACTTCCATCCCTTCATCAGGAGCGCTGATGGACCTGAGCAGTCTCAGCTCACCTGCTTAGTTTCCTACCTGGCTGGGGGTAGGCTTTATATCCTGCAGGAGGGATTTCCAAAGTCTCAGGGCCCTTCCTCAGATAAGATCTCTGTGCCCAAAGGGGAGAGTTTGGATCTTTGGATCTGGGCCTCTCTCTCTCTCTCTCTCTCTCTCTCTCTCTCTCCTTCTTCCTTCCCTTCCTCCTCTCCTCTTTCCTTCTCTTTTAATCTCTGCCCCTGTCTGTCTTTGTTTCTCTGTCTCTGCCTTTCTGTCTCTGTCTTTCACCAGCACACACACCACCCAAGCCTGTGAACCTGATGCCCAGGTGTAAATCTTCCCTTCTCCCAACCCCGCCCCCTTACCTTTGTGCTGGCCTCTGCCCTTTCTGGTATTCCCAGAGCATCAAGCCCCCCTTGGGAGCATTTGCAGCTGGGCAGTGTAGGGGAGGAGGGGATTTGCAGATGAGCCACCAGGAGCTCAGCTTTCCCTGAAGCATCACCAGGAAAGTGGTCCCAGCTCTGCCATCCACAGAAGACCCCTGGCTAAAGGCGCCTCCTCTCCTCAGCCCCTCAGCCGAGGTCCATGGTTTCCAAGGCTAGCGGCCAGCAGGGGGCAAGCTGGCCTCACAGCTGGCAGCCCAGGAGCCAGGACAGTCTGCAGAGGGCAGGGCTGAGTAGCAACCAGCAGCTAACCTCACAAGAGAGACAGTTATTTAAGGCCCAAACTCCTCTGCTGGTGGGATCGTATTTCCTGAGGAGCCCTAAGACTCAGGGCCAGCCAGGAGGAGGGCTGAGCTGCCTGAGACTGTTAAAAGCACAAAACTGCCACCCCTGTCTCTGGATCCTGTAGTGTTCCATAGCTGGGGTAGGCCTGGGCTGCTGACATCTCCTCCCACCCTAGTCCTCTCCCACCCCTGAAAACTGTGAAGGAAGGCTATCACAGCTTAGCACTTCCTGGATGCACTCTGTCTTCCTCTGCCACAAATCTCACTGCTACCATCTCCATTTTGGAGATGAGAAAACTGAGTCTGAGAGGGGTCATAAACCAGTTTGCTCTGGTACTGGCTGACCTGCCTCCCAATTTGCCCTCAGCCAGCTGCAAAACACATCCTCACTCTTTACTCAACTGTGTGATGCTGGGCCAGTTGCTTGGCATCTCTGAGATAGATACCTTGTCTAAGGAATGCACAGATAGAGCTAGAACAAGGTGTGTTAACCTGGGCCCATGAGTAGGTTTGGGAAACCACAAATTCCCTGCAAATATTAGGTAAGAACTCATATGCATGAGTATTGGGAATGTATGTATTTACCTGAGAAAATAGTTGGTAATTTCTCCAAGGGATCTGTGAGCAAAAAAAATTGAGAACGATTATGATTGATGGCCTCCAAGTCCCTTCCAGCTCTGACATTTAGATACAGATGAGTGATCATCTAATAAAGGAATTGCAGGTCCGTGGCAGATATCTAAGGGCCCTGATGTTTAGCACCCACTGTGGACAGAGCAAAGGCTTCAGAGGATCAGAAGCACCTCTGAGCTCCCCGCTTCTTATCTAGTGGCAGATATTCTCCTGGGGAGAAGGGCTGTCCACAGCCCTAGTAATCAGAGGCTTCTCCAGCCTCAGCTCCCAACCCCAGCCAGGGCAATATCTGCTAGGCCATGTCAGCACAGCTTTCTGTCACTAGGTCTTTGTAGGGTCCCACATAGCAGCTCCAGAGAGTGGTGGGAAACAGACCAGGTCTTCTGGGGGAACCCCAATGCTATACTGTTTTGGGCAGAAATGAGGAAAATTTTACTCACCTTTATCCCAATTTGCTCTTGTTGCCAATCTATCTGTTCTAAAATCAAATCAGGTTACAAGAGCTATGGGACTTTAATCCCTGATGCAAGAGAGGAAGTTGTCATGAATCAACACCAAAAGCAGTCTAAAGGCAAAAGAGGTAGCCAGAGGAGAAGATGAACCTTTCTGTTTTGCATTGTGACAACTGGGATGCTGGGTATTGGTAACATGTCAGCATGTCTCAGATGCACTTGGGCCAGGATGACAGAGCTACATCCTTCAGCTGGGCTGGGTCCCTAGTCACTGTCAGAAGCCTGGTGATTGAGAGCCACAGCCAGATGGCCTGCCTGCCACCTTCTTACCTCCTCCTGCCTCCACTCTGCTTGAGCCCTTTAGTTGAATCTATATAGAACCTGTGCAATATGTCACCTGCACAGATCAGGAGTAACGATGCACGCGGGTACCAGGCAGCCCTGGTAGGCAGGCTGGAGCCAAGGCCAGGGCAAGAGGAATAGCTTTGTGCTATTCATTAATGCTTTCCTTAATGTAAGCTAATAGAGTATTCTTTCATAATGACTTTACTTTCTCTTTTACTTTGCAAATATTGGTGGAATACAAAGTTTGCTCAAGTTTCCCTAAAATGTGTGTTTGGATCAGTTGGTATTGGAAATTTAAATTCTCAATAGAGCTGCAAATTAGCCAGTGCCCACCAGTCCAGGAAGTCCCATCTGGCTGTGGTACAAAGCCTCCCACCATGGACTGAACTTGAAAAACAGAGATCTACACACATGCTCGAAAGCTTGGGTAAGAAGATAAGAAGACAAGGTTTGATTCTGAAGGGCAGGGCAAATGAGAAAGACAGTGTAGGAAGGCTCTGCCAGAATCAGTGGGGAGTAATGTGGAAAAGGTGGGCCACCTGTGATGATGGGATTTAGAGGGTGGAGTATGGAAAGGTAGAGATACAAACAGGTCATTATCATCAGCTCCAGAAAATAAGGCAAGGTGGAGACCAGCCCCTGAGGCAGGAAAAGGGACTCTGCCCTAGATACCAGACACCTATATACTTCTGGACATTTGGTCTTAGAAACCAGATAGAAATCACCCCTGAACTAGGGAAGAAGGTCCACAGAATGCTAGCAGCAAGACTCCCTTGATGCTGAATTCTCTCCATTGATCCTAAGGATGGTCCTGAACATGGGCTGATGTTAGGCAACAGATACAGCTTAGGTGGCTCCCAGTGGTGACCCAGTGGCCCCAGGCCTAAGAAGAGGAGACAGTGAAGGCAGGATCATGGTCTCAGGAAAAAACCAAAACAAATACACAATTGCTTGGTGTCCAGTGGCGTCCTTCTGTGGGCCATTCTGATGCTCCCATGGCTAGAGCGGGACTGACAAGAAAGCTTGACAAAGGTTCCACCCCCATGATGATCTTCCAGGGGAAATGTACTAGAAGACACAGCATTTCTTTTCCCAAAGCAATGTATGACAAGGCTCAAAATCTCATTAGGGTTGCAGATTCCAATCCTATAGGCAACAATGGGGAGTTTGCACTAGGTCCCTTGATACCAGCCTGGGCCAAGGGACCTTAGAGATGATTGCTACAGAAGGCAGCAGGGTGTGGATGGGGTGATGCTCACAGGCTTGATTCTGCTCTGGCTTCTCAGGGAGCTCCCTGGTCCATGGGGAGCTGCCCAGACAATGTGGTGATGACTTCTGAAAGGAGATTTTCACAAAGGCAATTAGGTTCTGATTGTGGGTAGGAGTGAGTGATGAGCAACCCTCATTGAGCACTGACACCTGGACCATCCCAGTCCCCCAGTCATCATCCAGGAATCCTTGTCCTCACCTGGCAGCTGAGCTTCTCTGGCAACAATCATGGGATTTAGGATCAGACCAGAGTTCAAATGCTGGCTCTCCACCAACTAACTGTAACATCTTGGAATAATAAGTTAACCTCTCTGAGCTTCTGTATGTTAGATAATGAAGATAACAGAACTTATTTCACTGAGTTTTAAAAAAGACTGAATTATAACAATGACATTTGCATCACCTAGTAGGTCCTAGGCACCGTACTAAGTGGTTTATGTGAATTATCTTGTCTAAAGGGATTGTAGGCTTCATCTCAGTGCCCTTAGTTTCTTTTGCCTGTTTAGAGCTATTGACATCTGAGCTCACTGGGTAGGTAGTAGCTATGTAATTGTAGATCTCGTGTCCTTAAGGAAATAAACAGTTCTTGTATTAGTTCGTATTCTGTTGCTATAACAAAATGTCAGAGGCTGGGTGATATAGAAAAGAAAGAGGTGTATTTAATTTGCAATTTTGTCTGAAAGTTCAAGACCAGGCAGCACCATTGGTTTGGTTCTGGTATGGATACATCACCTTATTGTGTATGGCGAACGCAGCAGTAGGAGAAGGACATGTGCAGAAGGAGACAGCACAGGATGAGACAGGAAGACAGACTTCCTCTTTTATAATCACACACTCTCAGGATATCTAACACAATGAGATCAGCATTAACTCCTTCTAAGGTCAATGCGCCTCTTACTAGGCCCCACTTATCAAAGCTTCCAATGCCTCTACACCACACACTGGAGACCAGGCCTTCAGCTCCTGAACCTTTGAAGACAGACTCAAACCATATCTAAATCTTTACAATTGTCACATGTTGGCCTTGTATATCTGATTCTACTCAGCAAAGCCAGGTGTGATGGTCAAGCAGGGTAAAGATATTATTCTGCACAACACCTTTAACATGGATCCACCCCTACATCCTGATACACAAAGACCATGGGGTTCTGTCTCCAAGTGTTTTTTCATTCTTATCTCCTACCAATCTCCAGGAATGAGGATACTCTGCTTTGCACCTTCCCTACCACTCTATTCCTGTTATTTCCTAAGCCTGAAAACCCTTTCCTTCCACCATCTGGCAATCTCTCTTGTTATGGTTTAGATCTAAAATGTCCCTCCAAAGTCTCATGTGTTTGGAAAGTGATTGGGTCGTGGGGCTTGTACTAATCAGTGGACTAATCCATTGATGAATTCCTGGCTGAATGTGCTATTAGGGATTGGGGTCTAGCTGGGAGTGAGTAGGCACAGCCTGGAAGGGTATATTCTTGTCCCCCCCTCCTCCTTTCTCTCTCTGCTTCTTGGCTCCCATGAGTTGAGAAATTTTCCTCCACCAGGTCCTTCCATCATGCTGTTTCTGTCTTAGAACCTGCCAACCATGGACTAAACCCATGACCCAAACTAAAGCTCTTCTTCAAACTGTGGCTGTCAAGTACTTTGTCCCAGTGAAAGGAAAGTGGCTAAGACATGGCTCAGTAGCCAGGCCTTGCTTAAATTATGTGCTTTTCATGGGGCCTTCCCAGAAGTACCTGGCAAGAATCCAGTTAATCTCTTCCTCTCCTGCTCTCTTCCAATTTAAACTTGTGTTTTAAAGCTTATCCAATTTGGTGTCATCTCAGCCATTTGTAGGTGAATCTGCCTAGCCAACAAAAAAAGTAGTGACTTATAATTCTATACCACCCCCTCTCCCAAGTGTGTAACCTACTGCAGAATACAGTCAATGTAATGCAATTAAGGCAGCTGATATTGGTCTACATGTTTCCTGACATATAATAGAGCCAGGGGGCTGGAGGAAGAGAACACTTGACAAGACCCCCAGCTGGAAGGGCAGAGACAGAGACCTCAGCAGGCTCAAGAGCCTTTGTAGGAACACTGCCTCTTCTGGGAATAAGGACAAAAGAAGCTCTATTCTCTGTTGGCTTTGAGTGGACAATAAAGTGGGCTCACTGTTAGGAGTCCCCACTCTCCATTCTAGGCCAACTTTCTAACTCCAAACCCCCGGACCACCTTCGGATTTCCAAGCTTCCTCATCTACTCAGATTCCTCAGGCATTTCCTGTCTGATCTCCTGCTACAGCCCACTAAAGACTTCCCTGACCCTGACCCTGCATCTCGAAAGAACTTTCTTTTATTCACACGTGGGTCTGGTGAACAAGGCCACTAAGGTGGCATCAACTGTCTTATGCAATACATGCTCATGGAAATATGCAAGGGAAGACTTGCAGGGACCTCAGCTCCATCCCCCTGTTCTCCCTCACTTCTAAGATCTCCTCTAGGGCTCACAGTAACTGCTGGTTAGAGGAATAAGTGAGGACAGTCCTCCAACAGGGTGGCAAACATCCTTGTCCATTTCAAAGCTTCGGTCTCCTAAGCATGACATAGACTGTCCTCCCATGTCCCAGCAAGCAGCTGGCTCAGAGCCTGGTGCTCTCAGACAGAAGGACACTTCACCTGTGGACTATTTCTTCCTCCTATGGGTTCCTCACTAGCCTCTTTCATGGTTGGGGCAGAGCTAGCGTTTCTATTATCTCTCTTATGTCTCTTCTAAAAGAGACACACATTGGTTCCAAATCCTATCTTCAACCTCCATCCTCAGACAATGACAGCCTAGACACTATCCCCTAAGTAAAAACAGTGTGGTCGTGGTGCAAAAACTCAGCTTGGAGACAAGTTCCCGAGCGCCAGCCTCCTCTCCCTTGTATGCAAACTGCTGTTCCCAAGCAGACTATCCCAAGGGATATTCTGAGCTGACCCTCTAGGTACTGCACCTCAATGGCAGACTCCACAGGTCTAACCTAAGAGAGTGTGTAGGGTGGAAATGTCCAATCTGAGACAAGCTCTGGGGTGGGAGAGACAGAGATTACCTGAAACAAGGGACCGGAAGGGTGCCACCGAGAAGGCATGAAATGTACAAAGAAACAGAAGCTCCTTCAGGGACGGCGTGCTCAGCTACTCACAGCTGGGCTGGACATGCACAGCCTCTCTGAGGAGCCACACCCAGGCAGGGCCAGCCTGCAGCCGGGGCCTCAGCTCCTCTAGGAGGCCCAGCCTCAGCCTTTCCTCCTTCCGCCCTGCCCCTGTATCTCTGCTTTTGCTCATTTGCTTTCAGCAGCCTCTCATTTTCCCATGTTGGTTTAGTTTCAGGCCCAGACCCTGTTCAATATTTGTCTCCCCAGTGCTGCTGTTTGCTCTCATTTCCATGTGTTTAACA